ATCGCAAAACATCCGCGGTTTTCTCTCTCTCAGTTTCTCTGCCATCTTTCAGCTGTTCTATAAATGCAACAATTTCTTATCGCTTTATTTTTGTATCCGATCTGCTAGTAAGCACGTCTTTCTTCCGCGCTTACTCATACGGAGTCTTCTCTTTCTGTCCTTAAAGGTATACATCAGATATCCCATTTATATTCATAATTCCGTTTGCATTCATGATTATACAGTCGTATACTGGATGATAATTTTGCTAGTGGGCTTACGCCCTTTGCTCAAATACAAACTTCTACTTTTAAAATTGTGGAGAGTAGGCGAGGCGACCGAGCACGAATTATTGTTTACATCCTATTACAGTAGTAGTACGGTAGTCCACCTGTAATTTTGACATCTTGCCTAACATTTTATTAATACAAAATTACATTTTCCCCTGAAAAGTGTCAGATTTCACTCACAATTGGACATGTGGTATTCGGGCATGAGACGATTGCCGCCTCCCCCTCCTCCACCGGCCACTCTCCGTCAACATACCGCATGCTTTTCGCTGCCCAATTAATAATGTAAGGTGGATTTTGCTGGCATATTAGTAGTTAAAAAATCATAAAGGCTGCAGTCCCGTACACTCCAAATCTAGTATGTTCAAATGTATGTTCAAAACAAAAAGAGATGGTTCTTAACACAAGTAAATGAGAGAACATTTATGTGGAATATTTTTGTATTCAGACAATGAAAGTAAATAGAATGATTCTTTCAAAAGAAGTATGGGTTGCGAACGGGATGAGAATATCTTCTTGGCAGAGATCATCTTTTTTATTTCTATTTTCAGACAAGCCGTGTCTAGCGATGACGGACATCTTCCTTATCTATCCCAAAAGCCCTGGATGACATCTGACCCCTCTAAATTATGACTTCCGGCTGGGGGCGATCGAATCTCCCTAGTGAGTTTTGTTCGATATCTTTTTTGTTAACTTCTTGCATGATCATTTATTAATATAATTGTGGTTGGTATTGAAACCAATCTGTTTCTAGATGTGATGTAACGATCGTTCAAGGTATTGTAATCATCGATAAAGTCTTATTTATTTCTGATCGTAAGTATATAAGAAAGCAACTCTCATGCCTTGTATAAGTAACTTATTCTGAGGGGGGGGGGGGGGGTTTATATTTTTACGAAAGAATTCAATAATTATTTTGACTGGACCGGATCTACCCGAGGCACACAAGTCACTTATGATAAAAATAGAAAAGATACAACTATTACAAAGTTAAGAGTTGATGTTTGAAACTCTGAGAAATTAAATTTAAAAAAAAAAAAAAAAAAAAAAAAAAAAAAAAATCAATTTTAAGAAGAATAATTAAATAATGATATAATGGCAATAACTTGTAAGTGGACGAGAACGGACTTATCACGTTGATTACATGCTCTTGTGCGAAATAAAATGTATTTTGAAAAAACTAAAATGAATCAACAAATAGTATTCACATGATTAAAGAACAAAACCTAGGGGTGTTGGTGCAATGACGGAGAGGAACGCCAATACACCTAGACACCGACAATTCTCTCTGGTGACCCTCCACCTTCCTCACCTCAAGTCCAATAATACAATCATTAAGAGCCCAAACACATTTCATGTTTTATATAATTCGCTTGTAATTTCGGAATGACTCACATAATCCTGTGGCATTAGCCTAAAACGACCGCAGACACTTTAATTCGCAGACGAGATGATACACGAAAATCCTTCAAGCATGTTTCGAGCTCGTTGACATTTAAAAACTACGCTACATTTTGACTGGGTGCAGGAAAAGGGCGGGAAAAACATATTACCGTCTGCTTAACACTGGCACAGACGTGAATGTATAATTGCATTGTTTATAAATGCACTTAGCATTTATATAAGCAAACCTGACAACTATTAAAAGATAAAGATTTTTACTTTATTTATTAAGGAATCATTTCAATTATTTATTTTTGCAATAACGGTGATACGTAGATTATTCGTACCCCTTTTATAAGGTAACCATTAATTCATAGACAACGATTTTACGAACATTACGATGACGTATAACAAACATTATTTCTATAGGATTGTCCTTGTGCATGTTGAGATGAAGTCTGATAGCCTTTGCGATCACATTCACGGAGCAATACATTCATTTCAGTTAGAAGAGTAGTTTAAAAGATTTTAAAGTTTACTAAAGAAACATCGTAGGATTCGTAGCCACTCATAACCTATTTGGGTTGACTTGTCAGTTTTCACCATATTATACAGTTATTGACTGGCAGGGGGTGTAATATAACATTATTTGGACCGCTGAATGGAGTTATATTTCCCAAGTGGTTATATTTTCCCGAGGGGAAATATAACTCCCTTCAGGTCCAAAGAATGTTATATACACCCTGCCAGTCAATAACTGTTATATTAGATAGCCTAGGGTTTTTTTTTTTGTGTGTGTGTGTGGGGGGGGGGGGGGTTGCCCGAAATTTTTAATTATTTTCTCGGGGACAATCAAAATTACGGAAAAATAATCTGTCGAGATATAGTTCAAGAAAACCTTACACAAAAAAAAATTATAAAATTTTTTTTTGGAAAAAAAGAAAAATTCTTACCCAAAAAAGCTTTTTTTGGAGAAAAAAAAAATACCCCCAAAAAAAAATTACCCGAAAAAACATTTTTGGGGAAAAAAAGAAAATGTAGAAAATTCATGAAAAAAAAATGTCACTAGCCGGTAAAATATAACCAACCAGGAAAATATAACCAACCAGGAAAATGTAACAATTTGGATCCTCGCAATTGATATCACGTGACGAATCACATCTCGGTATCTGTCTAAGCTATCTAATATATATTCATAATTTACTGTATCTTTGAATCATCAGATTAGATCCACAATCTGACTGATTTCATCTTCACGCTTGCCCTTGAAATATCTGAAAATATACACACACCAATATTTTGGTTTCGTAACAGCACTTCCTACCTTTTTTGGCATTGCATGGAATCTCAGAAAAAAAGGCGAGCTCTCTAGTGAGAGGAACTTTGCTTGCCCCCAGACATTTTTTAACCCCGCCCTTCAACCCCTCTCTGGGGATATCGATCCAGGGTAGCGATCATCCGATAGCAGGAGCTGTCCGGTGTTAAGGGAAGGGTAAAGGGAGCACCCTTAAATGCGTAGCCATATATAGATTCCAGATGTCTGGTGCCCTTTTAACTAGAAAATGGAAACCTTCTTTCAGGAGGAGCTGTACTATGATGACTTTGTTGCCAAGGGCGTCGACCCATGTCCAAGATTAGGGAGGTTTATACACACAATAATCGGAAACATTCAAGTTCTAATAAAACACAAAGTCACATGATAATCATTTTGGGGATACTACAGGGGATGTAAGGGGCACAGTTTCGCTGGCCGGGGCTGTTGTCTTACCCGAATATAACATTTACAGCAAGCAAACATAAGGGCTAGCAAATTACATAGAACTTTTTTTTTCTCTCAGACCCCGACATCCCCATTAGGCTGCATATCCATTTTTCATTTGTAACGTTTTAATGTAGGAAATCACGTCATGGTTATTTCAAAGAGTTTGTTATTTCAATTAGGCTATACCTAGCTGCAGAATATGAGATGATGGGTTCCCCCCAGAAAATCCCATGGAGCTTCACCCCTCCACCCCCTCCCCCTCCACTCCATCCCGGCTCGTGAGTCAACGTGGGGGTAAAACTTGCTTCATCACCTCCTTTGTCCGTTGTCATTCTCTTGTCTGATATTATTATACCCATGACTAATAATACAACTGAATGGATGAATGTAACGGGGAAATAGGGGCAAAACTATTATCGGATAGAAGTGTATCTACACATTCTCTGACGTCAATAAGCATTCTGTATTCTTCATTGCAACATACTCGCAAACATAAGAACCATGGCAAACAGGTACGGGTAGTGAAAATGTAATACAAATATTGCTAAGTACCTAAATATTGTTTATTTTTTCTTCATAATAAGTTTCAATTTAATCAAATTACGTTATTTCATATACACAAGACTATATCATTGTTATAACCTCCGGAGCCTATGACCTACAAGCACTGCTTCCTCTCTTGAGGCTCCATCATATTTCTTCCTTTATATAACTTAGTCTTATGTATTATTCTTTTTGTTTGTATAAACGCATCCTAAAATGAGTACAAAATGTAACATGATAATTATACAACATGTGAAATATGAAAATAAACTGAAACTGAAACTGAAACTGAAACTCTAGAGCCTGTTTGCCATGGTTGTAAATGATATCGTTTAAAAAAATTAAAACAAGTAAAAGATAATAATAAAAAACGTTTAGGGGAATTAAAGAAAAAAAGAGAGATATTAATGGTAATTTTGATTGCTGCTGAAGATCCATTACACGCAAACCAGACAGAAAGTGGTAGCCTATCCTTGAGATGACGATTATAATAATAATAATAATACCGTTTTATTTACCCAGGTTAGCCACTTCAGTTATGAAACTGCTCTTCCAGCGGGCCCTGCATAACATAATATGTTATTACTACCCTTCTCTAATCTAATATGTTGAGCGCCTAGCTAGAAGGCAGAATGTCCCATTGTTATAAGTCTTTGGTATGACTCGGCCGGGGTTCGAACCCACGACCTCCCGTTCATGAGGCGGACGCTCTAACCACTGAGCCACCATACCCGATGGAAAACAAGGGGGATAGAAGAGGGGGAAGAGGTACTCGTTAGATTGAGACGGCCAACTAAGAACAGAAACAAAAACAGGACATACAAGATGGACAAACGCACAAACAAATCAGAAAAAAAAACTTATTGGATCACTATTTATCTCACACTGCAAAATTGCAACGTGAGATAAAGACATAAGGGACTTTTAGATTTGCGAGGACTGATACGTTTGACGTCCATTCAAGGCAGTGCATTAAAAGGACGTCGATCGTAGCAATCCACGTTGTCGTTGTGCAAATCTAAAAGTCCCTATTGACTACTTACTGGTGCCCGTGTGTCCTCCGTATAGGTTTCTATCGCAACAGGTTGTCCTCGGTTGAACGGGTTGGACCGGTGGGGCGAACGGTGCGAACGGGGCGAAGGGGTCTACCGGTCTTGCCGGACCCATCGGGCCCCTCGGGTATCCAGGGATGGGTTGCTGGGGTCGCTGAGGTCCCTGGGGGCGCTGGGGTAGTTGGGGCTGCTGGGGCCGCTGCCTCCATTGGCCCCGAACTAGCACCAAACACAAGGAAAGGATGACAATCTTGAGCTCCATGGCTGGCTAAAAAAACAAGAGTCCTCTATTGCAGTCGTGTTATCGACCGATGAGTACAACACGTTAGTGCTCACCAAGTTTTTTTTGAGAAAAATATGAAATACAGCTTTCGCGAGTGATCACTTGATGTGTTAAATCCAAAATCCAGTACGAGGGGTTGAGGTTCTTAACTCGGCCCGAGCAGAGAGAGGCCAAGAGTGAATAGAGCTATGAGCTGTTGAAAGTTGCCAAGTTTTTCCTCTTACTCCTGTTTCTGAAAGGATATGGGATGCGATCAGGTTCTAGAGTTAGCCTCAAATGACAGGCGTTTAGCAACGTTAACGCTGTTTACTTTTTTCTTCTTCAAGTAATGGGAATGAACCAAGCATTGCATTTTTCCTGTTTCCCTCGGAAACGATAAGACCAAATAAGAAATCATGTATGCTTTAAAAATAGTTTTGAAACGGATGACAACGTAAAGAATTGGTAGCAAAGGAAAAAAAGTTGTGCTTCTTCCATATCAATCGCAGGTTTGCAGTCTCCTAGCTCTTATGTGCATAGTTGCGATTAATATCAATGGCAACTGAGAAAACAAGTTGGAAGATCCTACAAGTTGCAAGATAAAAGTGAAGAAACTGGGTGAGTTGAGGGGAAGATAAGCTGAAGCCATCGTGACGGAAAGTTGCAAAGGATATAATGTTAAGGAATTAGAGTGTTTCGACAAAGAGAAGATATCAACACGTGTCTACTTATATTTAATCAGCAAAGATCTGACAAGTATTAAGAAAACGTTGGGAAAAACATAGATGACGACAAAGGAATATGGTTTGTTGTCCCCTCTCAGTTGTTCACTACACTTTAGGATTATAAAAACATATACCAGCTCCAAATTATATAATAATAATAATAATATTTATTTTGTATATAGCGCTTAATACAAATGTCTCTAAGCGCTTTACAAATATACTATTACCCCGGTCATTGGATTTAGTGCTTGCCCGCACACACTGTATGAGTAGGCCCTATCCTGATATCATTTAAATTTGCAATATTTGTTTGTTATATATTTGTAAAAATGCAAAAAGAAAAAGAAAATCAAACAGAAATAAATAAATCAAATCAAATCAAATCAAATTTAGTGCAATCAAATCAGATAAACTTGATGAGACTTTGGGAGTGGGTATGGACTTTTAAAAACTGTACATGACATTCAAAGGAAATGCTTAAACTGGGAAACATTTTTTTTTTATACAAAAACGTGTGGTCGGATACATCAGCTATTAATCACATCCCCTTACACAAAAAACGTCTGTTCACAAAGTCTAAGAAGTTTTGAGCGAGTGTATGACGTTAAACGGATGAAAACTGACTCGTTCCAGAGATGCACCCCAAAACTAGGTCAATTCGATTATTTCGACAAGTATTCATCAAATACTTGTCAAACTCTGCTTGTTGCTGTCATCTCTCTCTCTCTCTCTCTCTCTTTCTCTCTCCCTCTTGGGGTCACCTTCTTTCGCCAGGGGCGGCGGAGCGTATTTCAAAGTGGGGGTGCACCAGCAAAAAAGAGCACTTTCTGGAAAAAAAGACCCTTCATAGGGTAATCTCAAAGCGAAACAATTCTGTTATACATGGATATGAACCCCTTAATTGTATTCAAGATACTACTTCAGCTACTTCATGAAAGAATGAAATGACCTTTAAATATTGTTACTTAAAGGGGAAGTCGACCCTGATATTAAGTTGGTTTTAATAGAAGCATACAATCAGAGGTGAAAAGGGGCACTTCTCACACTTAAAACAGGGGCACTCTTTACAGATGAAAAGGGACAGATTTGAATAGAGGCACTTATGAGAAGTGAAAAGGGGGCCATTATCAGAAAGAAACATAGGAACTTTTGGGGTACTTGAAAAATTGGGTGCTCTGTACCCCCTTGCCCTCCCCCACCAGGGAGTGCCTCCTCACTTAGTAATTTCCATTTTATGAATAGTTTTTGATCTAAATACTCTTCATCGATATCGGGGCATAGATGCCAACTCGTGCCTACTGGACGGCCAAAGCTTTATTACTGATGGCGCTACCCTGTGAACTGAACGAAATCACCAAGCACGTCAAGAACAGTTATAACTGAATCAACTCATAGTCAATCTCCTCTCAAAATAATGATCGTGATTGGACTCAATTATTGTGAAGAAGTGATTTTTCACTCTAGAAAATATGAAGTAGATTAATGCCCGAATGACGTCATCCCACACATTTCTTTCCAATTCAATGTTCCAAGGATATTGCGATATCGTGATTGTCAAGTCATCGTATTGTCTTGGTTGTTGTTATTATTGTTGTTGCTGTTGTCATTTTTTATTGTTGTTAATGTTCTTGGTCTATGTTGCGTTGTTGTTGTTGTTATGGTTTTTTGTGTGGATAGTTTGGGAGCTTTTGGCACTCGATTTGGTTCCGAATAGTAATTACGCAATAATAATGATAACTTGGTCTTATATACCCATGGTAGTAACTGACATCAGCATATTATAATTACTGCTTTTCCATCGGGCCCTACAATATTGCCCCAGCACAAGTTAGACCCATGTTATACACCTGGGTCGAGACGGACAGTGGCAAAACAATTATTCGAGGATGTAGGCATCGAGTGAGGATAGTACACAGGACCGCTATATTCATGCCATCTTAAGGGCGGGTCTGTTTGTTATCGTTCTCGTTATTGTATTTTGGTTAAGGTCTACACACAACACAAATCTTGAATCGCCCTTTAGGTGCCAAAACATATGGGTTGGTCGGTCGGATGTTCTTCTTCTTCTTTTTTTTTTGCTCCCTCTTTGGGCTAATATTTTCTTAGTTTTGAAAGCTTTAATACATATTTTTTTTAAATTCATGAAACATTAAAAAAAAAAAACTTTTTAAAAAAGCCGACCGTAGATTTCAAAAATTTGGGTCTGTCGCAAAGGGCATCTTTTTTTTAGGCCGTATCATAATCATTATTATTATTATTATTATCGTTATTGTTTTAATCATTATTATCATTATTAATGTAATGATACTTCTTCAATGTTCATTATGAGTATTTTCATCAAATCCGACTCCCACAATATTTTATATTTTGCCAAATAACACTCCCTCTTCCGTAAAAATGCTTGTCCTTTGCATGATGTCTCCCACACTAACCGATTCAATGGGATGTCTTGAAATATGTCTGAATCATTTCCGATTCTCTTCAAGAAAAGCGTCCCGTTAATCTGGCTTGATAGCACTGTTTGTTAATAATAATCATCCTGGTTTATGGATGATCTCATACAGGCATTAACGTTGATTCTGACACAGATACAACCAGTGATGATAGGTGGAATATTCTGACTTTCTCAAATACGACTGTCATCCAGCAGTGTAGCTAAATTTTGAAAAACAATTTAATTTTTTTTTTGGGGGGGGGGGGGGAGGAGGGGTATGGTAGAAAAGGGTCTTTACAAGTCCTCTGATAATCTTTTCTTCTTCTTCAAGCGGGATTCAGAAAAGATTCTTCCATTGAAATGAGAATAAGGTCATTAAATATTTTAATTTCCGACAGGGATTGAAAATTTGCGAATATGCCATGAACAAGTGTAATTTGACGACTGAATATTGAATGGCATGGCACACCGCCGCGCCGACCCCTGCCCCTATCTGGCGACGCCCTTACTAATTTCGCGTGAATGAATGGCGATCGCTTTCCTCCGTTATGCATGTATAATTCGTCGTTTAGAAAGAAGAAGAACGTAAGCACAAGAATAAACATTAAACGCAAAGAACACACGGACAATTCGGAATTGTATCAGAAATAAAAGATAAAAACGGATAAAAGAAACTACATGTATTTCCAAACTGACTGTAATCCTATGATTTGTTGCTTTGGCACATGTATCTGGAGAGAGAGAGAGAGAGAGAGAGAGAGAGAGAGAGAGAGAGAAAGAGAATTGGGGGGGGGGGAGAGGGGGATTATTGCGGGGGTCATAGTAATATTCCATCCACCGTTTTTCATCCCCTGCAATTGATTATTCATGACGTCATTCTAGATTCATTTAATTTTTATCACCTTTTCCTGGCTAGACAAAACACAACCGAAACGATTATTTTGAGAATAAAAACCTTTGCCAAATGGAATGTTGAGGGCCTCTTTTTTCTTTAGTTCCTTTTATTTACGAATATAAACCAGTTGCATTGTGTTTTTACATATTTAAAAAATTACCGAAAGTGAATTAGATACCCATGGATGTATGTACAATGTCATAATGGCAATTACAACCTTGCAAAATAAAATGCTTTTGTCAAAGTCCATTTAAATTTTCTTTGTCTTCTTCTTCTTTTTCTTCCTCTTCTTTTTCTACTTCTTCTTCTTCTGCTTCTTCTTCTTCTTTATTCTTCCTCCTCCCTTTCCCCTTCTTCTTCTTTTTCTTCCTCCTTCTCTTCTACTCATTCTTCTTCTTCTTATTCATCCTCTTCTTCTCTAACTTCTTTTGTTTCTTCGGTTTATGACAGCAACCACCTTCTTTAATAAGCCCAAGTATTCCATCATCATCTCCATGGAAGAAACAAAGATCATTATATCGTGAAGATAACATTTCAAATGTATCTATTGAAGAGATGAAATGATATGAAAACAATTACTAAATCGATACGAAACTCCTTGGATTATACAACTCAACAATCGAGATTATTTATACCCAAAGCCATGTCCACAATTACATGCAAAGTCTATTATCCCCCGGAGTCTACCGTTTTGGTTTTTGCGGGAAGTAATCTAAATTTCTTCAAGATGTAAGTGATGTGTTAACCTTCCCGGGAATTTCCGATCTGAAGATCTATTTCCATCTCAAGCCCCAGACCAGATGGAGCTGTACAGGGTGTGTCAAGAAAAGTAAATCTCGGGATTTCATGGTGTATCGGAATATCAAAGGACACCATCATAAACCTAACAATATGCTGTGAAAATATCATGCATAGTTTTGTTGACGGTCGATAATTTTCTGGAATGCCTTCATACGATGATCTTTTTTTATGAACCGTTTAATAAAGCGAAAACCGCGTCCATCATTACATTGACATCGTTACTCATTTATTTCGATTTTACAATGCCCTGTGCCGTGTCTATCGGGAATCAAAAAGCCTAATTCACTTGATATGGATTGAAAAATATTTTTGCCTACATCTTTCAAGTTGCTATCTTTTAATAATCAGTTTTAAGGTACTTTTTAATGGTGCTTACACGAGTTTAATCACTACAAAGACATTGCGTAATCGAAATGTGAGCTGGAAAAGGGAGTTGGTGATGGAGTGAGAGAGAGAAAGAGAAAGATAGATTGAGAGAGGGGAGGAGGAGAGAGACAAAGAGAGAGAGGGGGATGGGAGAAACAAGAAAAGAGAGATAGAGAGAGAGAGAGAGAGAGAGAGACGGGTAAGAGAGAGGAGTCAGAGGGAGAGAGGGGCGAAGAAGGTGAAGGCCGAGAGAGATGATATAGAAAAGAGAGAGAGAGGAGATGCAAAGAGAGAGAGAGAGAGAGGGGGGGGGGAGGGGGGGGGGGGAGGGGGAGAAGAAGAATAAAAACATGTGAGGAGAATGAAAGAAAGATGATCACTACAATATAAGATTCACGGATTAACGAAAATAACGTAAACAGAATCGTGGCCATAAATGCTTAACGAAAACCCCCAAAATTAAATAAAGTGTTTGAGAAAATTTCGAGCCAGTCCTACTATTATAAGGTTTTTGGAGTGACCGAAAAGAGGAATAAATGAAAGATTATACGGAAATGATGAAAAGGAAAGGCAATGATACAAAGAGGTACACAGTTATAAAGTTACAACAAATTAGAAGAAAAAGGGTGTTTAAACAAAATATACTAAGGCCATTAAAACAAATATTCATGTCTCCTCCTTCCTATTTTTCAAAAAAACAGGACGCTTAACTTGTTTTTTTTAAATAATTTGGCCTAACAAGACAGTGTGTGAAGAGGAATGAGATAAAGGCAATTGCGTTCTTGCCAAGTAATAGGTGGCGCTATGCAACGTTGGAAGCGGTCAAGATTGAGATTATTTTAACCCATTTTTTTTTTGGGGGGGGGGTGGGGGGTTGATAGAAATCGCATTGACTTTAAAGTTTCCCTTTAATCTTAACTACCATGTTTATGTTTTTTGGTGTATGAAGAAATGTAATAAAGTAAAATAGCAAAGTCAAACATTCATCATCATACCAATAAGTAAATTACGCATTCAACCATAAATCACGATTTCACAAAACTTCTCACACACTGCTGTAATATATGGGACATTATGAAGACAGAAGGAAACTAAACATATTCTGCTCAAGTAAGGGAGGCTACAAGACGACTTTAAATCAACTGATTCTGGGTTTTTATTATACAATTTTGAAAAAATCTTTTATTTGCTATTTACAAATTTTAAACCCATGGATAGAAATCTATAACTTGATATCGACAATCTATTCCTTTGGCCACTAGGCAATCTAGACTTTACCACTTGACAACAAGTTCAATTTGTCAACTTCTACTTCTCCCATTAAAGTATTTTGCGTTATCATTATCTTATTCATTTCTCTTTTTAAAGCAACAAGCACGAATCTATATTTTCGTTCAATCGCTGCAGAGTTATGATGATACCGTGGGTTGTTCAGATGCAAAATTACAAAAATTATGATACAAATTCAAAATCGAGTTGTCTCTCTATTTCTTCTTTTTTGTGGGGAGGCTTATATGGATTACATATAATCTCATGTCTATGTGTTACTATAAACTGATTGATTATACACTTCTTTTTTTAAAGAACACCAATTGCTAGAAAAATGGGGGAGGGTTGTTAAGCACCCCCATCCCACACAGACACATCCTCAGAGAACCGTGCTTGAGAAGCACATCATGTACGTTTCTTCACATAAAAGTCTTACTCTCTCTGTTGAATACTCATTATATTCATCATCATATTTTTGGTTGTCTGTTAAGCCTTAAAACTTTCTACCTGCTGGTATCCTGCCAATAAATCCTTATATTTAGCCGCTATATCCAAAAATACGTCCATGTTATCTTGCGACCGAAAAACAATCCCTCCATTACATTCATCTCAAAGAAAAAGGAAGACAATTCTACAGGGGAAAGGTGAATCTTTCTTCCCGCCATCCAGACCATACTGACGGAAGTCTAGCATATCATTGTTGCCAAGTTGAAAACCTCAAACTCGCAACATTTTCAGTCACATTATTTTTCTTTCACTCTCACAGTAATTCCTCTGCCAAACAAATTTATTCTAAACCAGGGAATTTCTGATAGCAGTTCCCTGCCTAGTCCAGAATCTGGCCTATTTAATTTTGATCTCCACTACACCAACGCTTCCTCTCCCTACTTACTTGCTACCAGTCGATGGTGGCGTGAGCATTAAATTAGGACGCCCGCCCGCCCGCGCCTCAGGCTGAGCTGGTGAGCATAATTATGAGTTTGTTGATAACGCCATCTTCGACTGCTTGAATCAAGTGTGTGTAGGGAATATAAAGGACCGGGCAGATTCTGGACTATTCCCTGCCTGAACAGTCATTTTTTTTTAAAAATCGGGAAAAAGGCAAAACACAAAAATGGCCCGTATATTCTGTTAAACTATAAACCCGAAGCAGGGTTTCCACTTTTTTACACAATCGGATGAAAGGAAGTTTGCCTGAGATCTAAGTTTTTCTTTTGTTGAACGTCATTTTAGACACAGGGTCGGGTAGAAATGAATTCGTGGAATACGGATATATTTCTGTTTGTCGCAGATTATTTCCAGTTTAAAGCCCCACTGCACTACGTATAGTTACTGGCGCCCTCTATATAGTAAACAATGCCTAATCGTTGACCATTGGTCCCCCATGATCCTCTTTTTTTCTTATGTTAATTGAGAGCTTATTTGATGAGATAACCACCTGTCAGTGACCATGCAGGGAGGTCTACTCCCTCCTGGACAAAATAGTGCGGTGGGGCTGTTACATTCCATATTTTATACGATTCTTTTACATAAAATAGTCACAAAAGTCATTCTCATAGATGCATCTCCACACCGACCAGCGTAGTTCAAAGTTCACGTGTGTACACTAATGCGTAACTTGTCTCCTTAACGGGGGACATCCATTATCCCCCTAAAGCGTCCATCTCACTGATTTCTATTACAACATCAAAACGGAGGTGGCAGCGGTCTTATCTTGATCTCGACAAACTTGAGGGAGTAGCTATACCCCTTCCAGGAGTTCCAGACCACGCCCTTGGCATAGTCGCTCGTCGGTCCTCCCAGGTAGACACCGTTGAGGTTAGCGGTGTGGCAGCTCGTGTACCACCAGGCACCGGAGTACTCGGACGCGCAGTTACCGCTCCATCGGTCGTTGTCGGCGTCGAAGGTCGAGAACTGGGCGCCGTTGTGAGGACTGAGAGCGTCGCCTGAGAAGTAAAATGTGAAACGGGAGTGGAAAATAATTAACTGAGGTCGTAGCGGCAAGATCATGATGGCAGTGATTGTAAGAAGGAGAGCACTGTGATGTATTAGTGAAGGCTCTCGATTCTCAGGTAGAAAGACCATGGTTTCGATCGTACGTGTGAAAGCTGAGCTCAATAAGCCAGTTCACGGTTGCAGTCTGAGCATGAGCAGATGAAGGTAATTGCGGACCAAATAGTGTAACACACGGAGTCAAAATACTGGATACGCGCTAATGAAAGTTATGTACTCATTATTCATTCATACACAATCAGTGCACTCCATGATACACAGGTGGAAGTATTCTTTGAAAAGGGGAAACAGGTTATATCTTTGTTATACGAGCCTTTTCAGCACCCCCCCCCCCCCCTTCAGCAAAAGTCCGGTGTGTAAAGTCAATATGGGCAGATCTTTTTCTTTGTTACCAACCGGAGATTCTGGGAACACGCTTGCGGTCCCTCCGTTCCCGGAGGGGGGGCCGGGGAATTTGTGAAATCTCTCACAAATTTCGAACCCCTGATGAAAGTGAAATCATATACTTTTATATACCTAGATATTTATACATGCATGGTGTCTCATCATTTGTTAAGTACTATGAATAAAATTGGCAAATCATTTTACCTTTGGCAGTCTAGCATTCAATTTCTTTTACAAAACAATGAGAAAGGATTTAGTAATCGTTCGTCCAAACGATACCCTTTCACATAGGGTAGGTGCAGGGAATTGGAGACCACAGGGAATTGGAGACCATCGAGCTTGAAACCATCACTGTTTTTCCGTGTTGGCTCCAATATTGCTATAGCGCCATTTGTGCCCTTTAACAACACTACTGCATATATGCAATTCACTTCGAAGACTACAATGTGCTCTTTCTCCGAGAAAATTGGCAAAATTGACCAGGGTAACCAATTTTGATCGTAAAATTTTGCTCTGATATAAAAACACAATTTTCACTGAATTTTGTGGTGTATGCAGATATTTAGAAGTGGCTCTTAAAAAGTAGTTTTACAATGAAGTTTTTGAAGTGTGCCAACCATCACAGAAAAGTTATGGCCGTTGTATGTTGTGAATGGGTGTTGCACAGCACATTGTGAATGGTGTCTGATCAGAAATGTGTGCAGGCAATGGGGGACACCAGGTCCAAAATTTATAATTATTATTATTATTATTATACATTTTATTGGTATATAATGATCGACCAGTAAGTTCATTGGCTGCATTTATCTCTTTCAAAAAGTGTTTGAACTAACCATAACAATCCCATTTTCATTCAAATTGTATTTAAAATGTCTTGATTTGTAATTGCCTCTTATTACCTGCACAGGCAGGTAATGAGCGACTTTTGGTGCAGACGTCATTAATAATTGTTATCTTATTAACCAGTTACATCATGCCCACAATTTTGTTACTAAATAAAGAGAAGAAGTTACTGAAGAGAATACAAAACTTTCTTTATGTGTAACATTTTTCATGTTTATGTAAATTATGTAAATGTGCTTAAGGGTCTCCAATTCCCTGTACCTATCCTAATACCAATTGACCGGCTTTACCTGCGGTTGACGACGTGTCGTAACGCCGTACGGTCAGCGTGTAATTTTTAGCCGCGTCGGACACTGATATAAAGCGGTAAACCGTGTGTGCCTCTTCGTATTGAAAGTCCTGTAGGTCGATTCGAACCTCGGTTGGTCCCTGGTGTGTGAGTAGGTGTATCCATTCCAACCCCAGCCAGAACTCCCCGTCCAGAAACCCGAAGCCTTTCGCGTACTCCTGCCAACCGCGGTAGAAGTTGAGGTTGCCGTTGAAACGCCGTTGGATTACCTGCAGTACCATAATATAGAAATAGATTCGATATGCTTGATTGAATGATGAATTGATTGAATTTAATTAATTAAACATCAATCAAGTAATTAATGAAGTGATTGACAAATATTTCAAACATCATTCTCATAATACAGAAACACCGATATATATTAAAATCGATGATATGCTACTAGAGAAGAAAACTAAGTTCAAGTTTTGGGGAGTTTTATATAGATGAAACTTTGACTTCTAATGATCATTTACACCTTGTTACAATGTGCATTTCCAAAAATATTGGAATAATCTCCAAGCTAAAGTTTCTTCTACACCCTGTATTCCTACTATATAATTCGCTAGTTCTCCCGTATATAACATATTGTAATAGTGTATGGGCACATTGTGGTTCAAAACAAATTAATTCTACTTTTAAACTGCAAAAGAAAGCCATAAGTATTTGTACAGGTTCGCATTTCTTAGCTCACACTGATCCTTTAATAAAACACTTTTCACACTGGTTTTGCTTAACCCCGTACTTTGCTTAGCCCCGTACTATCCTTAACCCCGGACTATTTTTTTGGCTTTTCACACTCGCTGTTTTTAGTCCCGTACTAGCGCCTATTCCGGAATAAGAAAATTCCCGCTGTTCTCACTGCATTTCGTTAACCCCGGATATCGTGTATGTTATGATTGGACATACTTCGCATCTGGCCAGCTGCGATACGCTCCATTGCGTATAGTACCGGACTATTTGCTTTTCACACTGGCTTTTCACACTCGCTGTTTTTAGTCCCGTACTAGCGCCTATTCCGGAATAAGAAAATTCCCGCTGTTCTCACTGCATTTCGTTAACCCCGGATATCGTGTATGTTATGATTGGACATACTTCGCATCTGGCCAGCTGCGATACGCTCCATTGCGTATAGTACCGGACTATTTTTCCTTTCTGTTCTCATTCATTTGCTTAGCACCGCAATTGCGGGGTTAGCAGGAGTTAGCACCGCAATTGCGGAGTTAGCCCTGCTATTTTGCAGGGTTAGTTAACCCCGTACTATAGGTGGGGTTAGCCAACTTAAGCCCACTTTGGTAAAAACCAGTCTGAACAGAAAGTGGAATAGGCTTAACCCCGTACTATAGGTGGGGCTAAGACCCCCCTTCACCCCACCTATAGTACGGGGTTAAGCAAAATATTGCCAGTGTGAAAACAGTATGTCAATTTTTGATCTGAACACTACTCAAGTAGCAGTTATTATGTTTAAGTACATTAATAATCAACTTCCACCATCCTTTGATTTAGGTTTAATAGTTCTGTTCATTCATATCCTACTCGCATATCTGGAAACTTCCATCTTACAAATCCCAAATTATCAATAACACACAAATCTTGTTAGACATTCCGGCCCGGACATTTGGAATAATTTTCCCGACAACATTTTATTCATTGTATTTGTTATTGTTCGAATTTGTGTACTTTGAATTTGAATTTGTATCTTTTGAAAACAGAAATAAAATCAATCAAACAAACAAAACAAACTTGTCACAAAACCCAAAGAGATCGGTGGAAGACGGAGCATGCCACTAAAATGCTAAAACGGCCTACTTTCTGTGACTTGTACGACCGACTTACAGTTTGAACTAAAAGAGTATCTAATTTTTCACAATAATACACTAGTTACTCCTTACCAAGAATTCATAGTGATATTTTTAATATTCCATAGACGAGCCCTTGTGGTCACCACGCCCCACTCCCCCTCGGTAAAGGGTAGGAGAATGGGAAGAGAGAAAGAGGAGTAGCAATATCATGTCCCCTGAAAAATTATTTCACCCCGCGGAAATTTATTTTCCCCTACACCCCCCCCCCTCCAAAAATACTAATAATTAATATATTAGTAAATAAATAACTAAATAAATTAATTAATAAATAAAATAATAAATATATAAAAAATATGAAGAATGAACAAATGCAGAGATTAAAAAAACTAAGTGACTTTAGGATACGGGAGAGGGCTGGCAGGATTCCCGAATTCATGTTTTCTAGGGGAACCCTCGCCCCTTCTCTTCCAACCATTCTGGATACGCCCTTGCTATAAAATACGCAATCCTTACCGTCCATCCTCCGCCGTCCCTCTGTTGATCACAGTAAACCTCTCTCTTGCTACAGCTCTCCAGGTCAGATACATAGATGGTATATACACCGTCTCGACCTCCACCGAAATCTAAGATGTCTTTACAGTTCTTGGCCAATGGCACCGGAACTGCAATTAGTAAGAAAATGAAAGAAACAAAATTACTTTGTTAATAGGGCGAGGTAATTTTTAATAAGGTTCAATAATTCTGTATAAATGTGATCTAATGAAAATACATTGTTTTATTATCCTTTGTTTTTCTCTTCCAATAGCCTTTCTGCTTACTGTATTCATCCCTGATCCCCTCTCTCGCTCTCTCTCTCTCTCTCTTTCTCCTCACACTCTGTCTCTCCTCTTTTTCTCCCCTCTCTCTCTCTCTCTCTCTATTCACCCGCTCCCTCTTTCTATCTTTCTCTCTCCCTCTTTCTCTCCCTCCCTATTTATCTTTCACGTCCCCTTCTCCTCCCTCCTCTCTTTCTCCCTCCCCTCCTTATCTCCCCCTATCCCCTTTTTCGCTCTCTTTTTAACTCTCTATCCCCTCTCTATCTCCCGCCCCTCCCTAAACCTTTAACTAACTGATTATATATCGCGTCTAGTATACATGCGTAGGTCAGAGACGGAATATGTCCCTCCTCTTCTCAAACTGAATTTTAGGGATACGCCACTGACCTCTGTCATTATACCACCCCCCCCCCCTATAGAGAGTAACTGCTTGTCGCATAAGTGACACCCCTCAGGGAGTAAATTTACTCCCCAATGTAGAGAGTAAATTACCTTTTTTCATAAGAAGGTGAAATTTGCACCCAATGGTGCTCATTTAACACCTTTTGGTTCCATTTTCATGAAAAATGGGTTCAAATTTACACCCGTGGGGTTGAAATTTATACCCTTTATGATCGATTCCACACCCTGTGGGGAGTAAATCTACACCCTTTTTATGCACAACATCAACCAATAAGCAAGTTCACGGTTGCAGTCAGAGCATGAGCAGATAAAGGTCATTGCAGAACAAATTTTGAAATACACGGAGACGAAATACTGGATACGTGGTCATGAAAGTTATGTAATCATTATTCATTCATGCACATTCAGTGCACTCCATGATATATAGGTGGAAATATTCTTTGAAAAGGGGAAACAAAGGCTATTTATGTAGCACCTCCATCGCTGTAGGAGTGATTATTTCACAATGTACAAAGTGGGACCTCTTCATGTTTTGAAGATCTGTGGATATTCGGGGTCATTGCAGTAATGTGCTAACCGTGAACAGGTCTATTGATCATCCCTCGAGCAATCAATCATCCATGCTTCGTAATCACCTAACAGTCACTGATTCTCACCCTTTTGTCTACGTTCCACTGCTCTAAAGAAATCAGACCAGAATGTCGAGTTATATGTTGAAAGGCTTTAATGCTCATCTAAACAACAATTAGTGTGAACTCAACATAAGTGCAGACTGTAAGAACTAACTTATGGCTGGAGTTATCGGTTCAAATGTAATGGAATTACCTAAACACACAATCCAGCCTTACCGAATTTCTTCCCTTTACTTACACGTATAAGAAGACAATTATGTACTAGTTAATAAAACAACAGTTCTGAATTAAATTATCAAATACAACCCTCGGTACAACCCCTTATTCTTGATCGGATAACTTTCACACAAATAATATGCCCAAATGAACCATGATAATTCCCCTAACATGACTAAAATATGTGAATTATGCTTTTAAAAAATTCATTTGGCAGTACCTATATTGACACGATGCGCCATTGCTGTAGCGCATGCGCATATGCACTGACCAATCAGAGCTCGTCTGACTAAAATAGGGTGTAAAATTACATCCCTCAAATATACACCCTTGCGTATTTCCGTGTTTTACTCCCTAAAAGGTGTAAAAGCGGCGCCCTATTTTTCCAATTTCGTTTTACTCCCCAAGAACACCTTTTATTTCTCTGTGTGTACAACCACTAACGTCGCTAGCTAGAGAGGGGCACTGGAGATGGTGCACAAGGCGTGTGTACACAATGAATCCAGTGACCAGAGACATGAATACGGTCTGATACTTTTAGGCATCTTTGTAATAATGCAGATTATATTTTCGCACTGGAGAGATGGATGATTTGCTTGTAAGTTCATAATATCTATCTCTGAAATTTCAATTTTTAATGAAATTCCATAAAGTCCAGAATCCGTGTTTTCAATATGTTCGAAACGCGGGCATTTAGAAATACCGCGCATAGGTCCTTCTGGGAGTGACTTATTGAAAACTATAATTTCATCTTTCACACTGTCTCATCATGGGTTGCCAAGGGTGACGAAGATAATTGAAATGACAGGAAACCTGTGGTTTGTCTGATATCCTGAGAGAGTGGTGAAAACATGTCCCCCTCCCAACTATCACGACAGAGATGGATTCACAGGTGTTTTCATTTCTCTTTCCCCCTGATGTTTGAGTGAACTTCACCTCTTAAACACCTATCATTGGTGTATAGCGTGGGTTGAGGCATAAAGGGGGGGGGGCTGGTTTAATGGGGACAACGACCTTAAAATGAGCATGATAAAAATCTGCAAGGCTGGTAGTTATATAGGAGAAAGATGGGAGAAGATGTGTGAAGGGGTGTGTCTTTTTCACGTCTTTTCCCTCTCCCTTTTCCATATCTTTTCTCCCTGTCTCCTTTACGAGCTATGCAATAGGAAGGGGGTATGTGCCCCCGTGCCACCCCGCACAACTACGCCTGCCTCCTCTCATTAACTTATAGGCTCATCGTCGATCAGGAAAAAAAGAAGAAAAGGAAATGTTCCCTCTCCAACTATTCTTTCTTTGGGTGAACTTCAACTCTGCAGGGCCCCGTCTTAAAACAGTTGCGTTTAATCGCAACTTTATTTGCGATTGATATCAGTCGCAACTATATACACTGTTGGTCATAATGGTGGAATAATTATTTTTACCCCGATTTATGGAATGATTTTTGACGATGATTCATTCCTAATAGATCTAGATATTAGTATACATTTTCAGATTGTATTGAATAATAATTTGTGAGTGTTCATTTTGCGTGACTGCTAAAGCACGTGTATGCTAATCACCTAGGGGACCTACGTCCTCAAGTCATAACTGACAGTAATGAGGATTAGTGCCTCATAAAAGGGCACTTGTATAGCTGATCGACACGGTTTTGATCCTGGGGGCTCCCAGTAACGAGGCCATTGCTTAGCCACTGAATCATAACTGTACGCAGCGGGGGCTAGGGTACGTCGCCGCCCCCACAAATACAAAAAAAGAAGAAGAAGCAGAAAAATATTAATAATTCATTGCATTTTGCCCCGACCCCTAACATTGTTTTGTCCCTTTCTCGTCTCTGTTGGCATCCCCCATTTTTCTTTCCCCTATTTTGTAGTTCCTTTTGTATTTACAGATTAGTTAATTTAATTACTCATTATTCGTAAGTATCTTTTGAGGTGTTCACACTTGTACAAGCATTGCTTTTAAGTGAACCCCTCTGTTTCCAACATGTATTTCTTACATTTGTTTTAAATGCTGATAATTGATTTGTAATGATTTGTTGGAAACATGAATAAATTTGAAATTTGAAATTTGAAATTAAAAAATCCTCTGTGTGGGCATGCCTTGAACCATAATACATGGCCCTACAGAGAAATAATTAGGAGACTGCTAATGTGTAATTGATTACAGGACTTGCTGTAGATTCGGATCAATCGCAACTCTTTATAAGAATGGGGCCCTGGTAATATGGACCATGAGCAAAAATACCTGTTGCCATGGGAACTACATCACAAATTACAGTAGAAGTCACGTGAGTTTCATCTCGGATCTCATTTAGGATTGACGAGGATAAGATGAAATATATAGCTGCATGAGATCTTATTAATGTTAGAACTTTTGTATGTAAAAAAAAGGCTAGGGGGAATTATGACACGGAAAGAAATGATAAGTATGACTTTTGATATTAATTGTGACTGATTGATTGTGATACAAGGCTAACACAAATCGACTGATCGACATAATTGACTTATTAAGTGTTAAGGTACACGGAAATAGATCAAGTATTACTATTCTAAATAAATTTTATTATGATATAATGATTTGCGATGGACTTGACAAATGTATTACTATACACAATAAATTAACTCCAGTAAAATCCAAGAAGGGTCAACGTTTAAAAACCAATTTCGAACAGATTGATATTAGTATTTATACACAAACCAAACTCTCCAAACGTGTTCTGTCCAATAAGATATTGCGTATAAACGTAATCAACGAAAAAAGAAGACATTAATTGAAGCAATGAAACTGCTTAATTACCTGAACTGCCTCCGTAGCTGACGCTTTGCTTGCAACACAGATCCGTTCGTCTCGGCGGTGGCCTGGGACCAACACCAGTGGTTGCACCCCGCCAGTACGGCCCCGTGCCTCGTCCACCGGGTCCACCCCATTGCGCCGCTGCTTTACTGAGACAAGCAAGTACTGATACTACAAAAATGTTGAATTTCACCACACTCCCCATAACCGTTTCTGTTCCTATAAAGCTTCGATCACACACACACAAGTTATAATTGTTGTGAACGAAATCCTTAGCACCATCTTAGACGAAAAGCATGTTACTTGCGAAATTAAAATTCATATTCTCTTTGATTAAATCAACCGAATTCGAGCTATCTTTGGTGACTGATCTTGGTGCGTACTTGAACCCATGACTCAGCGAAAGGGGATATTCTAAATTACCTAGCCGAGTTTATGAACCAACCGATTTATTAGACAAACATGGAGTACAACTCGAAGGGCACTTGAAATAAAGAAAGTTTGTTTTATCAACCCAATCTACCAATGATTAGAACATCTTTATTTTAATGTTATTATCAATTCTTTTCTTCTGCAAAAAGATAGAAGCAAAGATAGCGTAGAGGTACCGACGCAAAAAAGGAAGAAGACAGGACATAAACATACATGTAGTAAGAGGGAGATATCCAGAGAGAGGGATAAATAGGTAGACAGAAAAAGATATGTAAGAGGAGGAGAGATCGAGAGAGAGAGAGAGAGAGAGAGAGAGATAGGGAGGGAGAAAGGGGGAGTGAGGAAAAAAGACAAAGAGCGAAAGGGAGAAGGAGGGCGAGAGTGAGGGAGAGAGACAGAAAGATAAAGAGAGAGAGAGAGAGAGGGGGGAGTAAGAAAGACAGAGAGAGTGAGAGAGAGAGAGACAGACAGAAAGAGAGAGAGAGAGAGAGAGAGATAGAGAGAGAGAGAGAGAGAGTCGGAGAGAGGACAACATTTCGTAGTAATCAAATATAAAATTATTTAAAAAATAAAATGAATAAAACAAAACAGTGGAAGAAAATAAAAGATTAACCGATATCTGTAATATTCATACGTGGAGGATTAGTAGGGATAATCTTACAGACAAAATGAAGAATAGAAAAATATCTTTCAAATAGTGGGGCGTGGAGCAATTAAACTAATTGGGATGACAGGTTTCTTAAGCCTAGCTTTAATTGGATAAAGCTATCAGGCAATACAAAGTATTACATTGACGAAAGATTGCAAGATACTTTTAGAATGATTGTGAAATGAATCCAAAGTATTATTGTTTGATGGATTATGCTGTAGCACCTATGATCTTTATTTTGTCTGTAGACGTGGGGTAAACTGCTGAAAAAATCTCGGTGGAGGGGAAGGGGAGGAAAAAAAGAGGGGGGGGGTAGAGAAAATTCTTTCTTTATACCGTGCATGCGCGATTTTCTCTTTCTTCATTCCTGTTTCTTTCCCTCCCTCTCGCTCTCTTTCTCGTTCTGTATGGTCCGCCTCTCCCTTCCCCTCATTTCATTTCATTTTACTTCAAGACGGAGACAATTGCTCCACCTCTCTCTCTCTCACACACTCTTTCTCTCCCTCCCGCATTTAGCCATCCCCTCTATCCCTCCCCCTCTCTCCCTCCTATTCTCACACTTACTCAATAACTACCTATTCCCTATCTTCTACTTCCCTTTCCATTCCACCTCCCTTCTCTTTTTCTCTCACCCTTTCCATTCCACCTCCCCTTCTCTCTTTCTCTCACCCTTTCCATTCCACCTCCCCTTCTCTCTTTATCTCACCCTTTCCATTCCACCTCCCCTTCTCTCTTTCTCTCACCCTTTCCATCACCCCCCCTTTCTCTCTTTTTCTCACCCTTTCCATTCCACCTCCCCTTCTCTCTTTCTCTCACCCTTTCCATTCCACCTCCCCTTCTATTTTTCTCTCACCCTTTCCATTCCACCTCCCCTTCTCTCTTTCTCTCACCCTTTCCATTCCACCTCCCCTTCTCTCTTTCTCTCACCCTTTCCATTCCACCTCCCCTTCTCTCTTTCTCTCACCCTTTCCTATTTCACCTATATTGATTTCTTACCCCTCTCTTCTTCTTTACTTTACGTTTCCCACGCACCCATTCTCACTCTCGACTTTAAAACAAGGTATAATCAACCTTTTCCTAATTAATTAGGTATTATCAATAAACTAATTGTGTTCTCAGACGTCTGGTCATTTGTTGACCCTAGATGGTATAGTAAAAAACATATGAAATTGAAGTGTATACACTTTTAACCATTTTCTGTCAACAATCTTAACAATCATACAATGTTTAATGGGAAATATCCCCCCCCCCGTCTATCCGAAATATTATTATTCAATATTCTATTATATATGAGATGTTTTAACCGAATAAAAAAACTTTAACAAAAATAATCTATTATTCAACACATGGTTGTTGTTGTGTTATTATTTACATTATAATTATCATCATTATCATCATTATTATCATTATCATTATTATTGTTTTCATTTTTAATAATATCTATATCATCATTATTATTATCATTATTATCATAATCATCATCATCATCATCATCATTAATATTATCAGTAGCATACCATTATCAAGAATGTTCTGAAAGAAATTATCAAAAGAAATATAAAATAGTTCTTTGCTGTAGGCATGAATGACATAGATATAGGCCTATCTAATTCGATTGGCTGGAAGTCTTTAATTGAGTACGGAAAATGCCGTCGGGTCGCTGTTTGTAAACGCACAATATTGACAAGATAATTGCGTATTGCATTCTCCATAAGCCCACCGGTAACGAAACACATAGATCATGTAGAGAAAGTGATAACGACATAATGACGCGAATATCCCCTCATGGTTTACTCGTAAGAGCACTAGCTGCACGGGTTTTCCTTTTCTTTCTTCCTTTTTTTTACTGTGGTGTATCTCAATCATCTCACTCCCATTGCGTAGATTTATTTAGTCGGTGTGATCAGGAAAAACTTCATTTTACTCAGGGGCACAAGGGCAGATCTAGGATTTTGAAATGATGGAGGGGGAGGGGCGAAATTCCAAAGAGAAGATTTGATAAGACCCGGGACCCCTCCCCCTCCAAAACAGGAATTACATTGTAAGGTTGTCATCTACTGAAAAGTAAGTCAACACAAACAAGTTATCAGAATTTAAAATGCCATTGTGGGCTAAAACTTGAAACGTGTCCACAAACACTACGTCACAGTCATTGCCAGATAGAGTTCAAATTGGGACACTAACCCCCTCCCTCCCCCTCCCCTAAAAAATAGATGAATAATGATCATAACAATGATAATAAGATAAAATAACAATCAATAATAACAACAAATAAACAAACAAACAAAACAAAACAATAAAGAGAATCGACTATTGATATTTGTACGTAAATACCAAGCTCAATTTACCCCCTACATTATCATGAGTTCAAACACACACGTCGTTTTCTTGAGCATGACAATTCATTTAAACGAACAGAGATATAAGTTACTAAATGCCTTTCTTCCTCGATCGGCTCTATGTTTAGTCCTAATATCTGTGTTAATTCACCATTCTCTCACCACATGCTGACTCATATCTAGTGTCAATATACTGGTACCCAAAAGCTATTATTAGTGGATACCACGATTTAAAGGTAGCGTTGAGCTCTGGGCCCCGTCTCTTAAAGAGTTGCGATGGTTCCAAATCAATCGCAAGTCCTTCAATCAATCGCAAGTTTGCAGTCTCCTATCTCGTATGCATATAGTTGCAATGCTGCGATTAATCGCAACCGTTTATAAAACGAGGCCCTGGTATTACTAAAATTAAAAATATAAAAAAAATAAAATATTAAAAATAAAAATAACTCACACAGCCAACGAATTTAGGCAGAATATTATAACAATTGTAAGTGATTAAATCATATCTGAGTATCTTGACGGATGAATTTTCAAAGCAGATGATGTATTCTCTTGTAGTTTTATAATATTTATTATAAATATCGTAGGCCAATACACTTCCTGTATTTATTATAATCACATCCCAAGAAAGTTTACCCTGGACGTTATAAAAACCATTTGCAAATCATACTTGTAGATTGAATATATTCATAATAAAATGTATACTTTGACAGAATTAAGCATTAAGGACAGGAAGAAGAGAATATAAGAATATTTATAGGGACGATATAATAAATTATCCGAATAAAGGGAAGAATTATTTAATTCTTCTTTATTGTTAAAGGTATTACAAAGTTTTGGTATGGGGTCATAAATTTGGTTGAAATGAACATATTGGAAGCATTTGCGATTCTTCAATATTAAGTGATCGTTGTCGCTGTTGAAATCAAGTCTAGTTATGAAATTGTAAATAATAAACTCTTAATGTTTTTAGCTCCCTCTCAACGTAAAAAAAATCAATTAAGCTATAAAACAATCTATCCTGACTAAAATCGACCGATTAGATATTCCCGTCTGGAAATTATATATCACAACTATATATTCTGAAATTGTCATGGTCGCAGCTACCATTGTACGGCCGTAGGCGCTATTTGAAATTTATCAATATTTACCGGGAGCACCGGTACATTTTTATATTGCAATTTTTCTCAAAAGCAGAGGGGTTTTAGAAGCTAAATTTTCTAGTGCTTATAATATGTCCACAGGGGCATCCAAATATATCAAAATTGTAAAGAATCACTATTCACCCAATTTTCAAATTTTCCCAAAACTTTGTAATACCTTTAACATACAATTTTGTGTTTCCGTTGTTATAGTGTTAAGAATTAAACATTGTTTATCTTCTGGTATTGTATGAAAAATGGGACAATGAGCATAATTTAGGTTAATGTTTGCATGACGGATAATGACAATCATCATTTCAATACGGGTTTGCAAAAAAATACATGCATAAACATGCACACAATCATGAGATAATGCATGACGACATATTTGATGAATAACTCTACACAAGGTTTATTTTTAAGACTGATTTACTCGTGATCTTTCTATAAACTATATAACATAGCGGCCTGCTGATTGGTCGAGCACCGTGTGCGTCAGCCAATAGGCCTTGTGCGTTACTGTTCCAATTATCGATCGAATTTTTGACCGCTGCGCCGGTCCTCCCGTAGAGTATAAAACACGCTTGCTTACACTAGTTTTTATCACCTGACGAGATGTTGCAGCGGCGCACGAATCCTTATTGACCAAATTGCGAGACAAACGAATATCACTACCGATATTATTTTCGATACATGTATGTATTTTGGGATAAAAGTATTGCGCTTTCTATGCAAAGCGTATAATTAGGCATGAGGTACATTAACATGCAATGTAATTGATTGATTCACTTCACTTGATGATTCTTTTGCTAATGTTGCAACGGCATATCCAACATAGAAAGGAGTTGGCACCCCTATCCATATTATAGCACATGGGGAAAAGCTCACTAAACAGGCATCCCCTACAAACAGGATTACATTTTATTCTTCTTGTAATATGATGTCAATCTTAGGATTAAATGTGATTATTCCTAATTAACCTGAGAATGGTAATTCATTATTTTTAAGATCGTATAGAAGTTCCTTTAACTCTTTGAAGTTAGCATGCAAGTAACAATTTCGAAAGGGGCGTCGTAATATGAGGGAGTGGGTGGAGGAGGTGTCCGACACTGTCTTGTCGAAAACTCAGGCAATTGAGAAATCTGAGGACCCTTTGGATATTTTTGAAGGTTGAAAGACGCCCAACATCAAGGGTGCGCAACGATCTCCTGTATTAAAGTCAACTGATCCGCCATTTCTCCGTTCCACAACCCCACATGGTTCTCTTGGACCATCAACTCAACCAATGTCTCATCAAGGCAGTGACGTACGCCATGGTGAAGGTCCTGACGTTGAGGGCGCTCCGGTATCTTGCGGGGACTGTTCTTACTAGTTGGATAAAATACAATGAGGATGTGACGCGGGGTCGTAGTATCCTTTTCCCCCTCTCCCTTATGTTTTCACAATTTTCCTATTTTTTCGCCATACGATAGCTCTGGTCACTTCGACACTCATAGCGGTCCCTTTATCCGCTCTACCTAACCGGATGTCTCCCTAGATCATCGGTCGAATTTTCATCTCCACATAGGGAAAAAACGCTCGGCGTACGCCGCGGTTCCAGGCCACACCCGCGGTTCGCCTCTTCGCACCGATACCCACGAACCGGTAGTCCATGTTGAGGTTAGACGTGAAACAGTCGTTGCTATGGTACCACCAGCCGCCGCCATTTTGGCGGGCGCAGTTGGTAGTGGGCATCCCGTCGTTATCGCGGTCAAAGGTCGAGAAGGGGATGTTGTTGTGTTGACTAAGACCATCACCTGTTAATGACGATTAGAAAATAGAAATGCTTAGTACTGTAGATTTGTTTTTAATTCGTCAGTTGTCAATACATTTTGATGAGTCGGGACGATAAATAAATCTTTCCCATGAAATCATAAAGAATACGTGAAGCATAAGCGATCACTTAGGCTTAAAATAACTCTAATGTATCAAAGAATTTCTTTTTTAAATGAACATTCTGTTTCAAGTTTCCAACACTACTCTCTCTCTCTCTCTCTCTCCCTCTCCCCTCTCTTACTCTCTCTTTAATTAAGCTTAAGTTCAACTCATTAATAATAATTAAACGTTGTAACCGGGAAAGAAAAAAATATTACCTCCATTAGAATTCGGATCCATTTCGCTAATTTTCATTGTGTAATTCCCCGTCTCATCATTCAGCGCGAAAGTCCAATATCTAAAAATACAATAACGAGATGATGGTAAAAGAAAGTAATATAATCAATACAATGTCGTGTATTATCCCTGGTATTATGAAAGGATCAACAAATATTATTGGTGATTGTGATCCTGAATTATAAAGAAATTAAAGGTACTATGTCCCATTTGCAGGCCAAAAAAATGAAAAAGTTAAATTCCAACTGCATTTGAAAGATAATACTAATTTAGAACTTCCCTAAAAAAGGTGGGGCTTGAAAATATCTTCAAGTGGGAAAATAACGACTATTAGTTGTCAAATCGACTTTAGGGCTATAGAGCCCAAAAGTAATAGTCTTGATTTTCAGACAATTGTACCGAATGGTCATACGTTTACGTATACATTCTGATCGACGAGGAAGTGATAGTTTGCCATCGCCTGAAACCAAAAGGTGATTATTTGCTTTATATTCCACATCTAAAACAATTTAACTACAAAAAGAAAAGGACGTGTATGCATCTACATGAAAGACACCAGGCCCAAATTCTCACCAAAAAAGTTAAAAGTTTAACCAAACCCCTTTAGGGTACGGTGCGCGCATGTGTTTGCTTAATTGCGCTTATTGGTAATGTGCGCTTAATTACGCCTGTTTTAGTGCGCATTTGGATAATCTTCAGTGAAAGTGCGTTGTCCTGTGTAGATAGTACCTCTATCTTTAGTGAAAGTGCGTTGCACTGTGTAGATAGTAGCGAAGTAGCGAATAGTGTAACGAACTTTTTGCTTCTCCCATCAATAATGAGCGAACTATTTTTCATCACGTGATTTACTTTTGACCAATCGTAGAGCAAGATTCTTATATGTGGAATATAATCATCAATATTCATGATACGCACGCACACAGAATCTGGTGCGATAATTTATCAAATATGAGATTTCATACAAAAATTACAAATGCAAAGCTAAGTTTACTTTAAATAAGTGACATTGCGACAAAATCGGGAGACTTACCGTAAACGAATGACTACCCAGTTCGTAACTTGTCCATAATCATTGCGACATACTGGTTAATTTAGTCCAGAATCTGGCCGATTTAATTTTGAATTTGATCTCTACCTCACCGTATAACAACGCAAATATTCATATATTCAAATATTAATATGCATTCTAGGATGGCTGGCTTACAGGAAAAACGACGCTGGCGGGAGCCCCCCCCCCCCCCCCCCCCCCCCGATTAACCGGCGTGCATCTAGACGTTGAGGGACAATGGCATCATGACAAAACAGGGGCACATACTCCGTGAATAAACTACAAAATAAATAAAATCATTGATAAGGGAAGGTATGAGGGGGGGGGGGGAGGGGGAGGGGGCTGGCTTTTCCCCCCTTCATGTTCCAATTCCCATTTACATCTCCTCTGTTCTCCCCCTCCCCCATTTACCATTGATTGGTGAGGACATGTTCCTCTTGTTCTCGCCCGTAGCCAAATGTGATAAATCTCATTAATACGAGGCAGAATCCAAAACTATGTGTCTATAGTATACCTAACATTTTCGATCACATAATAGTTATTTAAAGATTTCTCACTTTTATTTTCCAAGTTATTTATCAAATTCTTAAACAAAAGGGGAATGCTCAATGCCTCTTACTTGGTAAAGATCTCTGTCCACTGGGAGTCCCTCAGTTCGATTCTCAGCTCGTGTCTTCTCTGCATGGAGATTCGGTAAATCCAGTCCAATCCTAAAAAGAACTCGCCCTGTAGATTGCCGAAACCTCGTACGTAATCAGCCCAGGGGCGGTTGAAGTTCTCACGCCCTCCCCAGCGCCTCTGGATAACCTGAAGAAAATGATCATATTAATAATGATAATAATAATAATGGTAATGATAATAATAACATTACTACTAGTAAAATGATAATAATAATACATGCTACAATAATAATAGTAGTAATAATAATAATAATAAAAATGATGACGATGATGAAGATGATGATGATGATGATGATGATGGAAAGAGGGGTCTAGGAAAGAAGGGAGTTCAGCTAGACATGCAGGACATGGAAGTGGTGGATCCATGATTCACCTGCGGGGCGGAGGGGGGGGGGGGGGACGGGGCTACACAAGCGGAAAAATCACTGCCAACTAAGTTAATATACAGAGTTCTCACATTTTCTTTAAACGTAGGCTTTACTACTTCAGCCAGAATGGATTAGACCACACAGCGAGCTATCGAGGTCACTGTGACAGGTGGCTATCTCATTAACTCAGCTCTCATTTAACATAAGAAAAAGAGGATCATGGGGGACCAACAGGCACCGATTTGGGAAGTTTTCACTATAGAGGGAGCAAGTAGCTACAAGTAGGACAGTGTACCTTTAAGTGTCCTTATAATCCGAATTGTATGGCACGAAAAAAACATAGACAATCAAAACAAATTGTGAAGATTCGACATTCCATTAATCAATTATTATTTTTGTAAATGACCAACAATTTTAACTGAAGGGAAAAACACCAAAAAACATCATTGAGGTCCCTGCAAATAAATTTAAAGTCAGGCAGGCCTGATCTAAGATTGTAAAAAGGAAAAAAAAAAGGGAAAGATATTCCAGACATGATTTTTCTTTCACAAGAATATAATTCTGGAATCTCACCGGCCTCCTAGAGTCACTTGAAGGGGAGGGGGGGGGGGGGTAGGATGTAAACAGGGCTTGATATTCTCTTTCTTACTTAACCCTCCCCCTTCCCATTTTTCCTTCTTTTTCTCACTAGCGGGTGGCCCCATAGATACGCCCACATATTATGTATAGCTATGTATGCTTACTGTCCACCCCCCGCCATCTTGCTGCTGCTCGCAGAAAACGTCTTTTCTTCCACATTTGTTGATATCAGAAACAAAGATGGTGTAGACCGCGTCGTGCCCGCCGCCAAATTCCCGGATGTCGAAGCAGGTCTTGGGAAGGGGCAAGGGCGCTTCATATAATGAGACAAAGAGAGGATGAAAATAAATATTATGTTCGACCACATCATCGGCTGCTTAAAGGGAAAGTCCACCCCCAAAATAAGTTTGTTTCGATAGAGGCAGAATAATAAGAAAATCAGGTGAGTGAAAGTTTGAGCAAATTCTGAATGAAAATAAGAAAGTTATGAATTATTGAAGTTGTGATCAATCAAATACAAATTAGCAACTATGTGACTTATTATACGAGCTCTCCTTCATTTGCTTTTGCATAATATTCCATAAAATCATGTTTTCTTCGTTATTGATGACGGAATATATATTGGTTCCTTGCAGGGGGAGTATAGAAACATATTTGCAATTATTATATTTAGGGTGCATGTATGGTTGAAATTTTTCTTGAGGGAAAATGAAAATTTTAGATTTTTTTTAGTACTGAGCAAATGGAAGTTGAGCTAGCTTGATACGTCATAGAGTTGCCAATTTGTGTTTGATTGATCACAACTTCAAAAATCCTAACTTCCTTATGTTTAATCGGAATTTGCTCAAACTTTCACTGACTTGTTTCTCTCATTTTTCTACTCCTATTAAAACTAACTTAATTTCAGGGTGGACTTCCCCTTTAACTTTTCATTTACACATACAATATGGATATAGACGAGTGTTAAGCATTGTAAAGAAAAAATACGATAATGTAAAAAAAAAAAAAAAAGTCACCAGTTATGGGGCAATGGTCAACGAGGTGGAATTTGAATTTTTACATTTCGTTTAGTTATTGTTAACGTCATAATTGAAAGTTACCATTTCACTACTGTCAGTGACTGTATTATGCTAGCTCCACTGGCATACATTTTGAAACTTGAATGTTGGTATCACGGACGTGTGCCCAGCCATTGAGCTGACGATTGCTTCATTGAGGGAGGAGGGAGGGAGGGGGTGGGGGGGGGGGGGTCACTGGTCAATGTTCATTGAAAACAAATGTACAAAAAAGACATTGAATGAAGGCATGGTGTGGGAAGGGTCCTAGCATATTTGAAAGTTTCTCCCCTCTCTCGCTCTCCCTGTCTCTCTCTCTCTCTGTCTCTCTTACTACTATTCCCTCCTCTTCGATTGGGGGCTAAGCCACTGTCTCTATAAAACTGGTCTATTTACCAAATAATAAATTTCATACTTACTTGTGCCAGCGACTCCCCCGAATCCGCTCGTTCCACAACAAGGGTCGTCAATGGGTGATCCAACCAATTCATCACCCAGCAGCCATATTCCTTCACACCTTGCCCATAACAGAGTCAGAAGAACACCAACGACATTGCCAAAAAATGAATCCATGTTGCTTCATTCAAGCTTTGAACCTGAGTGGCGACGACTTCTTGTATTGTGACGTCAAATGTGCAATGTGAAGTTACGAATACCGCCTGGCGTATGGGAATCCGGTGAGGTCGTGTTTTCACAGACCTTACCTGCTATAAGATGTTCCTCAGACTATGGGTAACTAATCACGCCGAGCGCGCGGGGCATTATAATATTCGGCACTCACAGATTCGACGCATTATGATGTATTTGATTGGTAAACTAGTAGTGTTAAATAGAAATTAAGATGACATATTATAAGACATGGAATGAACTATCGACGAAACGAAGGATGGATTTTGTTTAATGCTCAAGTTCACATAACAGGCCTAGCTGAGAACATGGTATTAACTTGACAAACTACATGTATCAGGTGATTAATCTAGTAGTTAGAAATTAACGCTCTTCGTCGCTTTCTACTGGGCATATACATTATAGACCTGAAAGAATAATGTTTTGTCAGACTTCCATGATTACAGTAAAAAATGAATGCATTGATAGGGAGGTGTGAATGGCAAATTAATTTTCTCGCAGACTATAGACACCATGTGCACTTCGCAAGGCATTCTTGCCTCAGCGTTAATGACCTCATAGTCATAGCGTCATTACAGGCTTTACAGGATGTGTAAATTTAACACAGAGGAAAATCTAGCGAACAATACTTGAGAGTAGCCTTTGGACAAGGCCTCGTGCGCTGCTTGTCTGCCGAGCTGGGTCTGAAAATAGACTAACGCAGTGTGGCTTTACAGCAGTGATCGCTGGACCGAGCTAGTCTGCAAGCACAGACCCTAATTTGACTCTTTATCAAAAAATCATTGTGCCTTGAGAAAAGCCTAGCCCAGCTACCTACTGGTTATAGGGTAGTGTCAGGAGCAGCTACAGTACATGGCCTATGGTAGTCTTAAAGTGCAGACTCACTTTTACGACTGACCAGAGTTTGTGCTTGCAGACTAGCTAGGACCGAGCCGCTTCAGTGGTCCACGGATCACAAGTCGTCACGCGATCAGTCTATGTTTTGAGGCGCGTTTATGGAAATAACATTACGAGTGCCTTGACTAAAGGCTAACTTAAGAGTGACTGACTCCATAACGAGTTTAATTGTCTTGAGACTTAAAATAGACTATGATAACATATAACCATAGATATATATTTGCTTTAAATTTTTGTTTCTATATAGCATACTCACTCGAGTCCGTTCTGACCTTTAAATATCAACATCATTCTGTAAGCATGCATGGTGAGTGTGCAAAGGGGGCAGTGACTGTTTTCTTTTTTAACCTCCATGAAACCTAAAAATCTCATCACGAGAAAATATGCACAGATGAATACGACCCTTAATTATTGTCTTGAAAAAAAGAAAGGTAACGATAAATGATAAACTTTAAGAACGAAGTTGAAAATAAAGAAAGAAAAAGATGAAGACCTGTATTAGTTTTGTCCGTATGGACGGATGATTCAACAAAATTACCACAACAATTTTTTAATTTGTTTTTATCTCTCTCTCTCTCTCTCTATCTCCACTTTGCTTTCTCGCTCTCTCATCCCTTCTGCCTTTCGCTCTCTCTCCCCTCATTCTTTCCTTATTTTCTGTCGTCTCCCTTGCTGTTATTAGGGACTTTTAGATTTGCATGGACTGATACGTGTGACGTCCATTCAAGGCAGTGCATTAAAAGGACGTCGACCGTAGCAATCCCCATTGTCTTCGTGCGAATCTAAAAGTCCCTAGTATTACCCCGCTATCTTGCAATGATATGTTCTGTCCATTGGGGGCGCTACACCAATAAACTGCGGAGAATTGTTTTTTTTTGAACGGGTAAATTCACCTATTCATCAAGTGCTATCCTCAAGATTATTAAAGCCACACTGTTCTATTTGTAGCTACTTGCTCCCTCTATATAGAAAACAATGCCTAACCATTGGTCCCCCATGATCCTCTTTTTCTTATGTTAATTGAGAGCTGAGTTGATGAGATAACCACCTGTCCAGTGAGCTTGCAGGGCGGTAAAATCCTCCTATAAACTAGAAAAGTTTTTAAAAAACTTTGAGTTTGAAGTTATAAGTAAGAAATACATAAGAATAATAGAAAAGAAGATGACTACAAAATGTCAACGAGACGGATGGCCCCTAAAGACCGACAGTCCACGAGACCGACCAAACAAAGAATCACATCAGGGGAAATAGTATAGTATTAATGACTGCTTTGAGAGAAATAGTTGTTTTTATACGCTCAAGGGAAGGTTAGAATTGTGCTATTACCCGAGGCGTGCCGAGGGCAATAGCCCAATTGTAACCTTCCCGAGAGCGTATAAAAACAACTATTTCTCGAATATTAAAGCAGTCATTAATACTTTTATATGCCGAAAAAAAACAACTAAAAAATAAAAAATAAAAAAACTTTTGTCGAAGATGGGATTCGATCTCTTGCGTACAAAAAGGTGATGTAACTAAAATCACCGCCTTAAACCGCTCGGCTATCGCGCTCTGTTACCATCCATAGCAGTTTTTTCTTATATATACATTAAAATGGATTGAAAACGGCTTCGCGTGGTGGATGCAGGTGGATGCTTCGCGGCTGCTCCATTAAACAGGCCCTCCTTTTACTTTTACAATGCATATTGGCACGAATTTAGATCAAGATCTATCGGCAGATGTTGTTTTTTTGTTTTTGGAAGTTTATTTTCGTCTTCATGTCAACAATGCAAGAAAAAATTGTCGGTAAGATCGATCGAGATTCAATTGTATTGAAATTACCGACCAACCACGTACGGTATCCTCGATCGCTCAGACCATTTTTTAACATGTAAATTTATGGGGTAACCATGGAGACTGAACTATTTTCCCAATAACCATGGTTACTGGGATTATAGAACTGTTTTAACCATGGTTACGGGGAATTTTACAGAAGTAGTTGAAGTTTATGAATGCAATTTCGACCAATCAGATGGCTGGATTTCTTAAGTGAGGTATATAAAAAATAATGTCGATCTCATGAGCAGTCGGTCTGGTGGAACGTGTGTCTATTGAACCCTCTGGAAAGCTGTCACAAGGTCCATGAGACCGGTCGGCCTTGTCCGGCAGTCTCGAGAATTGTAGCCTTCACGAAGGCTATTCATAAAATGATCAAACCCGTATTTTGATACACAACAGACAGTGCAGTTGAGAGCAATTTTTATCGATGGCTCATTGGAAAAACTCCTTTACTATTATTATTGTTATTTATGAGAAAACAAATGATAACAAGCGATATTTATTCTATATTCATCTAATAGCTGTTTATTAGTCATCATAATTTGGGGATTATCTTTTATTTTACTTAGTTTACTAGTTTAGTTTATTTTATTTATACGCGGTTAAAGCCCGAAACAGTTCGAAGACTGGTTTCAATCAGGGCCGTGTTAATAAAAAGCAACAAAATCATGACATATACAAAAAAGTAATATAACACTGACAAATTTGCATCCATAACACAACAATATATAGAAAATGAGTTAAAACACTTAAGTAACTACAACTATATTGCCTAGGCCTTAAAGTTAAACAGATAAAAAAATAAGTTATGAACATCAAAATCTGTTGGATATTATATAGAAGAAACAAATTGAAGTATAAACAGATAATAAATAAGTTAAGAACATACAGGTTGTATTATATATGACTATGTTAAATATTGAATAAGTAAAACTTTAAAACAAAACAAAAAATACACATAGGCCTACATGTAAAAGTAAAAACTTCGCCCTTGTTTCATTGTCACTTCATGAAAACTGTTTGTAAATATATTCGACCTTTCGACAAAAGAATTACAAAATATTTATTTATTTAAAAAACTGCGTCCTAAAGCTTCCATCGTAATTCTTAATATGATAGATACATGCAAAGTTTTCAGTAAACATACATGTAAATATTGAGAATCACATAGTCATGCATGCTTCTTTTTAAAACCTAACCTAGCCATCCTACCGCTGCATTTAATTGGATCAAAAGAAACCTATACTTCTAATAATAATAACAATAACAACATTTACAATGCACACTATATCCACCCCAAGGGATGCTCAAGGCACGAAGATAAAAAACCTAAATATTTTCATTATTGCAATGATGAAACTTTGATTGGACATTTTTATCAAAATTCAATGTTTGAAAAGCTCCCAGTCCGAAGTAATTACTAGATTATCAATCACAAAACGCTTAAATATGGCCCGGGCATGGCACCTGAAGAGCTGTCCGAACGCAGCTGAGATGTAATTGAATTCTGTTGAATATGCAGATACGTTTTAAATTCATAATTATAGCTTCCACTTTCCTTCATGAAAGTGTTAGGCTGGATTGCATTTCTATATGTCTTTTGAATAAAACAATACCATAAATGGATGGATGGAGAAAAATAGAATTAATAAAATTCAACAACAATTTTCAACAAATGGGTTCTTAAAATCTGATTCAGTCAAAAGACTTTTATTTTCAGCAATCAAAATGGGTTCAATATCAGTGTTCAATCTGATTATTTTTTCAGTTCAAAGTAGCGGCAGCTGCTGTCGGGCACATCAAACACACTCAGGGATACCTGTTCTTGCCTTCGATCATTCAATTCGCAGAGGTCACTACCGTGGTCAAAGTTGAATGAGAGACAGTCACTGTTGAGTGAGCACATCATCGCGCACTGTGTCCTAGTAGTTGCGCGCGCGGTGTCAATCACATGGTCCCACATACAGGCGTTTGTGTTGGGCGCACCAGGGGCTGCAAACAGCTTGGAGTTCATGACCGGCCGTGATGGTGAGTTCATCGTGGTCGATGGTCCAGTGGTCGCGGATTGAGTTGTAATGATAGGATCTGTGTTTGACGAAGTATGTAAACATATTATAAAAACAAAGGTACACTGTAACTAGCTGTGCCTATTTCATGGCGTAGCGACAGGGGACACTTGCCCAATGATGTCGTAAAAAGGGAGTGGAAAAGAAAGTCACAGGAAAGAAGAGAAGAAAGTCAAAGCATGTGAAAAACAGATTGATCCCGTTACCAAGTTTACCAATAATAGGTGCCCTGACCTAATGTTATTCGAGTATTAGTTTATTATTAAAGAATTGGAGAGCCCCCCCCCCCCCCTCCCCCTCCCAAGTGACCTCCATAATATAGACCAACG